CGATTTCGTTAATTAATCCCTCAGGCTTGCAGAGGAACGGGATTTAGGACGGGGGGTTTTAATCTGAAGGGCAATTTTCATTCGCAATACGTCATAAAAAAAAAAGAAAAATAAAAAAACGGAGAAAAATTATCCGCGAATTAAAGCCCCGTCGCGTGCAGGCTCCTCGTTATTCTAACTGGTTTAATGTAATAATGTAATTTGTGTTCCGTCTGCCGAATTGTCGTTTCGATGGAGGAGTCACACGGAATGCCGGCTTTGCTTTCTCCGTCTGGCTAATTGCATAAATGGGCCGATTGTCACATTTATGACACGGCTCCTTACCTCAGGTTGAGTAGTTTACAATTATAGGACCGCAAGGAATGAAATATGTGGAATTTTCTATAATACATAAAATATAACTATATAATTGACAATTTGTGAATCAAAAATATTCCTAGCAAAAATACACCTTGTCCTACTTAGAAAAATAAGTGTACATCAAAGTTCAGACGAGAATTAGGTCATACTCAGAGTATATGAGAGGAAATAATCTAAAATGAGAAGAAAATGAAATAGTGAAACTAAAAGTGAGGAAGTTATAAATAAATAAGCGCTGAATGTGGACTGGTATAAAAAAGAAGAAGGTAGAAAAGTTAAAGAGTGAGGCAGAATAGAAAGGTGAACGGGTAAATAAATGTAAAGACTTAGTTAATAGTTGAATAGAGTTACTATGGGATTAAAAGAAAGAGAGAAAGAGAGAGAGAGAGAGAGAGAGAGAAAGAGAGAGAGAGAAAGAGAGAAAGAGAGAGAGAGAGAGAAGAGAGAGAGAGAGAGAGAGAGAGAGAGAGAGAGAAACAAATACTTAGTTATTAGTTGAATACAGTACTGTGGGATTAAAAATATGTAAGATGTGAAAGGATGTGAGATGTGAACAAGTAAACAATTATTGTGATTTACATATAAGAACAAATTTGGTAGAGATAGATAGATAGATAGATAGATAGATAGATAGATAGATAGATAGATAGATAGCTAGATAGATAGATAGATAGATAGATAGATAGATAGATAGATAGATAGAAAGAGAGAGAGAGAGAGAGAGAGAGAGAGAGAGAGAGAGAGAGAGATTTTCTGGCGTATCTCAGGGTTCTCACTCCGGGCCCATATTATTTCTTGTTTATTTCAATGATGTCTGTAGTATATTCAAGGATTGTAAGTTTTCTTTATTTGCGGATGATTTAAAAATGTTTAATTCAGTGTCTTCTACTCACGACTGTATTGGTTTACAGAGGGAACTGTACTGCTTCAATAATTGGTGTGAGCAGAATCGTCTTCCTTTGAATATTAACAAATGGAAGGTAATTAAATTTTCTAAAAATATCCGACCTCGTGACTTTGATTGTTTGACTATTTCGTTGGTGGGCAGAGATTGGAAGAGGTTGACACTATCTCCGACCTTGGTGTGGGTTTCAGCAGAAAGGGTGATTTCAGTGACCATATAAAACAGATTCGAGGTAAGGCTCTACGCAATTTTGGCTTTATTACTAGGTTTTCTAGAGATTTTAAAAGCATCTTGGCAGTTAAAATATTATATCAATCCCTCGTTCGTTGCCATCTGGAATATGCAAGTGTCTTGTGGTCCCCTTACTACGTTGGTGAGATTACCTACTTGGAAAAAGTACAAAAGAAAGCAACCAGGATAATTGCCTTCAGATTTGGTCTTGCATTCCTGAATTACTTGGAAAGACTGAACTGGCTTGGTCTTGAGTCGCTTAGCTTCCGCCGTATTTTTGCCGATCTCATTTGGGGTTGGAAATTGTGGAATGGGGCCATTGATGTCCTGAATTTACATTTATCGCTATGTGTGCCTCAGCGACCACTTAGGAACCATAATTTGTCCTTTGGTCCATACTACAAAACAGAATATGGACTAAATTTACCCCTACCGAGGATAATAAGATTGTTGAATTATTATTCTAATGAAATAGATATATTTCGCGATTCCTTGAATTCAGTTAGAGTTAAATTAAAATGTTTACTTGCCTTGAATCATTAAGCCTTGTGTTTTTGTTATTATTGCTTAATTGTTCATTTGTTATTTTTGTTATTATGTGCCTTTTTTTGACTACTCCTCTTGTAGATTCTTTCTGTAGGAGTTATAATAAATAAATAAACAAATACTTAGTTATTAGTTGAATACAGTACTGCGGGATTAAAAATATGTAAAATATGAAAAGATGTGAGATGTGAAAAAAGTAAACAATTATTTTGATTTGCATATAAGAACAAATTTTGTAGAGAGAGAAAAAGAGAGAGAGAGTGAAAGAGAGAAAGAAAGAGAGAGAATGATAAAGAATTAGGTAGAGAAAGATAGACAGATAGATAGATACAGATAAAGAAGAGCAATTTCTTTTTCAAACATCATTATTAAATTAAAACCACGTATGTAAGATTAACTTGACAAAAAGCAATAAAAATAAAAAAGTAAACAGTAGTTGAGGAAAACCAGATATCAAACACTTCTACCAAAAAAGTAAATTGCTATATAAGGTATCATTTTGCAAGTAAACAATTAATTTGATTTACACACAAGCACACATTTTGTAGAGAGAGAAAGAAAGAAAGGAAGGGAGAGAGAGAGTGAGAGAGAGAGGGAGAGAGAAATAGAGAAATAAATACTTAGTTAGAGCGGGGAGAGAGAGCGAAAGAAAGGGATCGTGAGAGGGGTTGAGAGAGGCTTCAGAGAGAGAGAGAGAGAGAGAGAGAGAGAGAGAGAGAGAGAGAGGAAGAGAGAGAAAAAGAGAGAAGAAGAGAGAGATTGTGAAGAAGAATGGAGAGAGAAAGAGAGTGAGGAAGAGAGTGAGAAAGGGAGAGAGGAAGAGAGAGAAAGTGAAGAAGAAGAGAAAAAGTGAGAAAGAGAGAGAGAGAAAGAGAGACAGAGAGCGAGGAGACAATGTGAAATGGTGAGCAAAAAGTTTGTAGAAAAAATAAAATGTATTTCAACCTTCTATTTCATTTACCAATAGTCCACATTAAACAAAATGGATTTGGCAAATATAAAAGAGTAATCTCGAACTGTGTTGAGAATCTTTTTATTTGCGTTGGGTCTCTGAGTGGCTGGGGGTACAAGAAATCCCAGAGTTCATAAGATCATGTAGGGTGAATCTATTAGTTTAGTACCTACGTCTTCGCAAGAATTCTACGGCACGTATTTCTTCAAAGATAAATAGATGTGTTCTCCGCCAGTTTAATGAAGTTAAAAAAAATATTTACATTCTACAAACTTCTCGTGAAATCATGCGAAAACTGAACGGTTCTTGTAGAAATCAAGATGTACAACTGTACTTCATGTTTTACAGGCTGCTACATTTTTTATGCTATTAATGATTCCCTTTTGTTTGGAATAAATTTATCCGGGAAAAGCTGCCCCTTTTTAACTTCCATGTCGGGTAAAGAAAATATGTTAACGATGGAAAAATTTGTCCAATATAAGTGGATTTACTTTCTGTGTACTTTGGTGAAAGAAATAAGTTCTGAATGCCCGTATCAAACCGTCTTTACTTCGCTCCGGCAACCAAGCAAATAATAATTTTCTTATGAGAGTGGCTACTCCGTTTATGAAAACGATCCCAGAACGGCCTCGCGGGATCATTTCCTATAAATTTCACGAGGTCAAAAATTACATCCTTTGTTACTTATTTTGTCCCTGAACGTATGTACTTTGAACTTCTGTAGTTTTTCTCGACACGGTTTGAAAGAAAAAAAAAACAAACGCGTACATTTTTGAACATAAATCTTTCTTCCCCGCTCTCAAAAATAAACCGTGGTTTGCTGAAGGTGGTGAATGAAAAATAATTTATACTGCTATAACGCGGTTAGGTACACGGTATATGCGGGGCCTATCTCCACAAAATTAATATTAGACCGACAAAAATTGTATGACACGCGATGATGTTGAGATCAGCTGCACGATATTCTGCTCTACAAAGAATACACGCTTCAGAGGGTGGCGATGTACGAAGCTATCGCAAATATAGATAGAAACATTACAATAAATATAGAAAGAAAAGAATGATCAATAGATAGAAACATTACTGGCATCAGGGATGACATTTACCTGAGACATTTTAAATTTATAATTCGTGTGACATCACAATGAGAATGTTTATTTATTTATNAGAGAGAGAGAGAGAGAGAGAGAGAGAGAGAGAGAGAGAGAGAGAAAGAGAGAGAGGAGAGAGATAGATAGATAGAGAGAGAAAGAATGAGAGAGAGAGAGAAAATGAGTGAGAATATTCGAGAGAAATTGAACTTTACACAAAATTATTATTTTATTATCACTAAAGACAGAACTCCCACAATCGCATCATTTTTATTGTTCACTGATTACAATAAAACCAAGACAGAAATTCGAATCGTCAATATGATCAAGAACGTCTTAAAGGTTTTTACTGCACGAAAATCCGGCCTTTAATTATTACGATTTACGATTAACACAATTAAATTTTAGAAAGACCGTTTTCTTTTTTATTGGAACCCACGTCCAATAAAAAAGACCACCCACGGGTTCAGCATAAGCCCGAAAAAATTGGGATGGGAACTGTTCTATCTCAATCCGGTCGGAAGTTACGAATTATTACGTGTTTTTTCCGAAAAATCCATAAATTGGCATTTTTCAAGATATGAAGCATCTCATCCAATTTTTAACCACATTTTTGACTTCTGCTTCCTATAAGAAGGAGCTATTTTTAATCTTATCAAACTAAATTCAACCCTTATAGGAAATTTAATGCAGTATTCAAAAGTGTGGTTAAAAATTGGAAAAGTTGCTCTAGATGTTGAAAAAAAGCCAATTTATGGCTTACGGGATTTTTTGAAAAAAAATAAAAATAAAAATTCATAACGAACAACCCGATTGAGATAGAACAGTTTGGTTGGTTCCATTTTATTCTATTTAGGATGTACTATAACCCAATTTGTCTAGGGTTTATGCTGGACCACCCAGGTATAGATTTGATTACAACTATGTATATTTTAATTACTCACAGTTAAGGCCTAGATCGTGGTAAGTGAGGATGGCGGGTTTGTTTCGGTTGCCCTGGATGGCGACGAGAAGCTGCCCCCGGTCAGTCTGGACCCGGACCTCCTCGATGCTCGGATCGTCTCTGCTGAGGCTCCTCGTCGTCGGCATATGCATCTGGATGTTCTTGAGTTCGATGTCGTCCATACTGTCCGAAGGCATCGTACTGAAAGCATAAGTTCGACAAATGAGAAAGTAACACACACCGACAAATCCAGATAAAAGAAGATAAACCTGAGAGATTTGCAACTCTAGGTTTTTTGAAGTTATCTACCTCCTGATTTACAGGGATCGTTAATTTACTAAACGTCAACTCTAAAGAGAAAGTACGCGCGTTTATAATTTTGTTTTTAAATTTAAAAAAGTTTTTTAACCGGGTTTAAACTACACATCTACATCTGCGTATTAAGCGAGGCAGTCAAGACTAAACAACTAAACTGTAGGCCATAATACTAATTGACTACATCCTTCTAAGCCTCCATTCGCACATTTTACTGATAAATTACTCTGTTACTTTATTTTACAAAATCCAGTAGCCAACAAAACCATTTATGTATTAACAATTAATAATAACATGCAGACAAATAGCTAAATTTCACCTTCTCTCATTAATAATGCCGGTAGACATGCTGATTAGAAACAAAATGGATTCTAAAAGTGCTGAAAAGTAATGTAACATGGAAAACATTGATCCTTTAAATACATGCTCGTATGAAAAATGGTTAAATTAAAAAGAAAACATGACGATGGAAATGCAAATCTATAGATTTTACCTTCGTCAATGTCACAATTGTTTTGTCAACGATCCAAGGTTTATGGGTACATGAATTTCATCTTTCATCGGATAGATTCATTGCCGAACAAGGTAAAAAATGTATAAATTTTACCTTTATAGATCTAACTTTTGAGAAACTTTTCAACTAAGGGCGTTTACGTTAAAAAAGCTCTTCGATAATAGAAAAAAAAAAGAAAAATAATGGTTGTGATGTTGATGTTGAACTTTATTTTTAGTTTTGTGCGTTCATGTTGTTCAAATTGAAATAAGGTATACAATAGTAGTTGCCAAGTCGCTTTAATGTACATAAAATCTTCTAAAATGATATTTGTTTCTATCTAATCCGTATAAGATGCGAGATCCATAAATTTTCTTAAACCCAGTGAAACATTATTACGAAAAACTGAAATAATAACAACAGATTTAATTTAATTTATTGTGTGAGAAGGAGCGTGAATGAGAGGGTGAAGAGGGTAAGTGAGCGAGAGTTGGATAGAGATAGGAAGAGATAGATAGGTAGGTAGATAGATAAATAGATAGATAGATAGATAGATAGATAGAGAGAGAGAGAGAGAGAGAGAGAGAGAGAGAGGGAGAGAGAGAGGGAGAGAGAGAGAGAGAGAGAGAGGAAGATGGATGGATGGATAAAAAGATATACAAATAAACATATGAAGATGGATGGATGACTAGATAGATTAGATATATAGATAGATCGACAGAGAGAACAGAGTTAGGAGAGAGGCGACAGAGAGAGAGAGAGAGAGAGAGANAGACAGATAAATAGATGGAGATGGATGGATGACTAGATAATTTAGATATATTGATAGATAGATAAATAGATGGAGATGGATGGATAAATAGAAAAATAGATGGAGATGGATAGGAAAATAGATGGAGATGGATGGATGACTAGATAATTTAGATATATAGATAGATAGATAAATAGATGGAGATGGATAGATGACTAGATACAATAGATATATAGATAAATAGATGGACATGGATAGATGTCTAGATACATTAGATATATAGAAAGATAGATAAAAAGATGGGGAGGTGAGAGACGAAAAAGAGAGAGGAAGATGGATGGATAGATAAATAAAGTGATAGAGGATGACTAAATAGATTAGATATATAGATCGACAGAGAGGCGAGAGTGAGAGGAAAAGAAAGAAAGGGAAGACTATCTAACAAACCTATTTGATAAATTAATCTTACAAATGCTCTAATGACAGCAAAATAGAAAAACTCTATAACACTAACAGTACTAAATCACCTATCTAAAATTGCGGTATTCACGAACCGTTCGGATCATGTTAAAATCTGACTTAAGTAAGTTAAAAACTTTGATTTATTATTATTATTTGTTGCTTGCTTATAATGGAAGCGTACGCAAAAGAAAGGAGGAAGTTAGATAGAGAAAGGAAGCATTGAAAAGGTGATCAAAGGATGCTAAAATTAAATTCCATCAAAACTTGGCATATTAAAAGAGATAATTAGCTTTGGCATTAAAAAAAAGATTAAACGTTACTAATAACAAAGAAAAAGTATCTTGGATATGGAACCTAAACCGTTTCTAAACTGGCCTAACCGTACTTAACCTAACCTTGCCTTACCCCGTGAACAGGTTAGCACAGCAAATCAAAATCAACAAAAGTTATTCGTATCATCTTAACTGCATTTAACCCGACACGACGTTGCATGTAAACAAACAAATAACTTGCGAATACTGAGAACAATACATCCGCCATAAGGATAGAAAAATAAAAGACAACCTCAGAGGACATGAAACGTCATTTCAGAACAATGAGGAAAATTAGACTATACAATTAACAAAAAATAAACAAATCTAAAATTAAAGCTTAATGACGTAGCACAACGATACATACATAATTCAAAACCTAAAATATAAATATACATATAAGACACACAAGACGGAAGAAACTTATTTCGACTTATTTTAGTATATTGGAAACAATATGCAATAAAACGTGGGATCACAATAAACATCATGAGCAAACAATGAGAAACCCAGGTTTAAAAAGACAAAGATATCACCGATATATGTATCTTCTTCAGGAACATATAAAAGGGACATTATTGGCAGCCGAAAGCCATAAGGATAGACCAGGATGATCGAAAACGTCTGACGTAATATAAAAAGGAAATTTTGTTTCAGACATGCTAAATCAATAAAGTCCAATCTCATTAAAAAAAATTACCGTCCTACACAGCCGCCAGATATTCTCGTCTTTCTTTTTCTCATTTTAATACTGTCGTCTCTCCCGGGTATATAACTCAAGCCCTAATTAAAGCAGAAGAGTCCCCTAAGTAATTTGGGGATTTTCTCCGAATGAGTCTCGTTCTTTGGGCCTCGGTAAACAATGGAATCCTCCCCGTCCGTATTACTCAGGACATCAATTCCCACCCCCTCGGGGACGCGCACCAACACCCAAGTAGATGGTTTTCTCCCTGGCGTATAAAACATGTAGAACTTCAAAAGGTTAAGAAACGCGTCAACTCGTGAAAGGATCGCATTTCCCCGAGCTAATGGAATTCCTGATTTAGACGTTTTAATTTCCGTCCAAAAGTACTTTAAGGGAAGACCTCTCGGCACCGACGTCTGAGAATCTTCTCATATTTATCTCGGCAAAATCAGTATATCGTTTGTTATATTGAAGTCAGCCCTTTATAACGTTTATTTATTCATAATGTAATAATAATGTGGGAGGTTTAGGGAGTGACAACAGCTGAGGTCATCGCCGGTCTGTGTTTTTACTTCTTTTGTTGGCCTTTCGCGTGTTTTACAATTCATTTGAGCGTCTGATACTGACTCTCTGCTCTTATATGAAAACTCTGTCGATATCTTAAAAGCCTATCATTTGTAAGTTAGGTTTTCAACTATAGAATAGACATAAAACATATTATACATCATTATCCTATACAAACATAGAAGTCTAGTTACATTCATTTCCACAGAGTATTCGATATTCCTCGGGACGGGGTGAAAATTACTCCATTCTCGCTAATAAATTAATTTTCCTTTCCAGACGTCATATACTCACGCGAGAGTACTCGATATTCCTCAGGGCGTGGTTAAAATCGTCCATTCTCGCTAATAACTTATTTTTACACCACCTTCCTATAATTACCATAAACATAATCCTGTTACAAACAGTGAAGTCTGGTCACATTCGATCTCCCTCGAGGCTAGGTTGAACCCAGTTCATTCTCGCTAATAAATTACATTTACAAGTCAGACGTCACCCTAGAGTATTCGATATTTCTCGGCGAGGGGTTTAAGAAGCCCTTCCTTTCACGCTAATAAATTGCATTCCTTCAAATAATTACCATAAACATAACACCTGATACAAACATCTCCCTCGAGGCTAGGTTGAACCCAGTTCATTCTCGCTAATAAATTACTTTTACTCTCCCCGGTATACGACTCAGACGTTATATACTCGCCCGAGCGAACTCGATATTCCTCAGGGGTTGAAACCCTCCATTCTCGCCAATAAATTACTTTTCCTCTTCGTACATCACATACTCACCCCAGAGTACTCGATATTCCTCTGGGCGGAGTTGTACCCACTCCATTCTCGCTAATAAATTACTCTTCCTCTCCAGACGTCGTCATACACTCACCCCAGAGTACTTGATATTCCTCAGAGCGGGGTTATAAGCAACACCTTCCTTTCACGCTAATAAATTACTTCTCCTCTCCAGACGTCATACACTCATCCCAAAGTTCTCGATATTCCTCGGGGCGAGGTATATTAGGGTAAAAAAAATTTCTAGGATGTGGTGCTAGCTCACATTTCACAATCCTACCTACAAAAAATGCGTACAGTCCACAACATAAAATTTACGTTAAGTTAGTAGGTATAATTATTGAATTTTTAATTAAAAATATTTTACTACCGATAAGTCCAATAGGTGGTCGAAATAAACAAAAAAAGAAGTTTCGAAAACTTAAATTGTAAAATGTATGTAAATTGTAAACAATTTTTCTATCAGACGTTGTCTATCTATACATCTATCTATTTTGTTATCTTTCGTGGTCTCTTTCCCTATCTTTCTAACTCTAACTCTTTCTCTCTGTAGTTTTCTGTTTCCTTCCCCACCCCTTCAAAACCCAACGTATATAAACACAAAATAGCAAAATCTCACTGGCACTCTCTACACGACACGCAAGAATGGCACAATTACACAGAAGACAAACACTTTGAGCCCTGTAGATGATCTCAATAAAGATCGAAACGTTGGCACGATAAAGAAAATGTTTTTCTGAAACCTACATCACACCAGACCGCATCTCACGATTTCAAAACTTCATAATAGTATTGAACGAAGATCCGGGTTTGAATCCAGCCTGCGATACAAATACA